TTTTGTATTATGTCGGTATCAGTTAATTATTGTGCTTGGACCTCGAGTTAGCACTAGTAATTATCATAATATTTACAATCGAACAACCTTTATATTTATTTAGTTTGACCCATGTGGTCGTGTACAATCATTAATTTTGTTTCGAAGCTTAGGTTTTAAAAATGATTAATTTGGACCATATACCAAGGGGCAAGAGCCCTTTGAAAATAAAGAAGTTGAGAATGCAAATGAATTCCAAAAATATTACAAATGATGGAATAACATGTATTGTTCTTTTCTTTTGCTCGAGGGATGACTAGCTTGTTCAGTCTAGGGGCGGATCCATGGCCCGACGATCCAGGTAGTTGTTGGATAGTCTCACATTGGTTGTGGAAGGGTAATGGACCTAATATATAAGTGAGGGAGTCTCTTACCTCATTAGCTAGCTTTTGGGGTGAGAAAGGCTATTTACGATATTAAATTTGGTATCAGAGCCTGACTAGGTCAACATTTCTGACTCGAGAGACAAAGTGTGTGAAGCTCTAATGGACCGTAGGTGCCTGAGGGACCTGAGGGACCGTAGGGCGTGAATGGTTAAGAGACACTAATGTGTGAATGGGGTGATTGTTGAATAGTCTCACTATTGGTTGTGGAAGGACAAATAATGACTTAATATATAAGTGGGGGACCCTTCACCTCATTGGCTAGCTTGACTGTGGGGATAACGGTGAAGGGGCAGTGAACGGCTGAGAGACACCAATGTGTGAGGGGGAGTTTGTTGAATAGTCCTATATTGGTTGTGGAAGGGCAAGTGACCTAATATATAAGTGAGGAGCCCCTCACCTCATTGGCTAACTTTTTGAGTGGGAAATACCATTTACGATCCTACAAGACCGGCGGTACCATGGCTTTTAGACCGGCAACACCATTGCAGTTAGACCGACAGCGATGACAGTAGGAGGTGGTGACGCGACTGGTTGGGCCGGCCGATCTACACCGGTCAGACCAACAGTACAGGGACGGTCAGACCGGCGCATAACCTGCGGTTAGACCGATCTCCACCGACTTGAGGATAACTTTTAATTCTGCTAAAAGTTCCAGTTTTTGGGTACTTCAATCATTCACCCTCATTTGGTGGCTTGGTTCTTACTATTCGATCCTATAGTAGTCGCTTGGGCTCGCCGACGGATTGCACCGGATAGCTACTAACTCTATAGTTCATATCTAAAATCTTTTTACACATGTGCTTAACCAGGCTCTTAAAGATTTCTACATCCACCGCCGGTTCAGTCCTTCATGACTTCCAAACCAAATAGATTGAGGAAAATATAAGCTTTCTATTTACTAGCTTCAAAAGTTGTGATCGGAGGTGGTTCACAACAAACAATTCAATAATTTAGGAGAGAACGCTTCTACAAAATCATGGAGAGAGTTAAAATATGACTTGTTAGATTGAGCCTACGACATGACACCTAAAAAATAGTTCAGCGAGATTTACTACGTGCAAAATGATAAATCGGGAAAAAAATCCACATTTTTTCCCTCAGCTATATGGCCTTGGTAATTTTTGTTTCTCAACTATAAACCCGGTTGCTATCTATCCTTTAACTCAACAGTTAACATTTCATTCTTTGCCTTGAAAAAGGTAGTTTCTGATGACGTGACATATCCTAGTTAACAAATTAAAATAAAAAATAATAATATGTAGGATATATGGGTATAGGAGGAAATGGAGGCGAGGATGATATGCTTGTTCTATATTTTGTTATTATTTTTTATTACTGATCGATACTCTTTTCATCCTATAAAAAACCAATCTAGTACCGGATAAAAACATTCTATTACTATAATTCTAGACTAATGTATGTCTATAATTCTGGACTAAGGAATGTCTAGATTTATAGTATTAGGATGTGTCATATCCGATAATTGATTTTCTAGGTACGAAGGAAGTATGATAGTGTCGACACTCTTTATCCATGTAAGTTCATTGTAGAGGTTACCTTACCAACCACATTAGCTTGAACCAAGGGATGTAATATGAACCATTTAAGAGTTGTTGGACTAATAGTGAAAAATGGTTTGGTTGTCGAGGCACCAAAAGCTAGACTAAGGATGCGTTAGAAATAGCTTATTAGCCTAGCTTATTTGCTGTACGTAAAATGAGAAAGAGAACTAGCGTATAACTAATTAAGTAGTATTAACTATTTATAAATTTTAAAATGTATTTATTTGATTTTTTAAATAAACTTCTACATAATTTTTTTACGAAGAGTGCACGTTTAGCTATTTAAAAGTGTGCTCATGAAAAAACGATGAAGTCGCACAGCGGAATTGCTGATTCAAACTCAGCCATTAAATGCCATAGTTAAGTAAGTCTTGATTTATCTCTTTCAAAAATATCCAAATTCGTCAGCAAAATAATTCTTACTTGAATTTCATCCAACAAACTCTTTAATTACGAATCCTTTTTCTCCTAGCTTACTACTGTCATTTAAATTATACATTATGCTCATTGTATTGCTACAAAATCTTCAGCAATGCTGAAAAAAAATACTTTACTTTTCTCGACACTTAAGGCTTGACACATCCAATGATCCAAACGATTTTAAGATATCTTTAGGAGTACTATTCGTTATCTTGAGAAGATAAGTAAATACATATACATAAAATTATTCATAAAAAACCAAATTTCAAAACTAAAAATCGCTTTGCGGCCCCATCGTAAGCCAAACGACATATTTACAAACGAAAAATAATTTGTGAATAAAACTTTTATATACGTATTCTTAGCGATCTAAAAGGAAAGATTGAAAAATAAATTTTGATAAAAAAAACCCTAAAATCAACTCTAAGTTTAAGGTTAAAAAATCTAAATTTTGGCAAATAAGCATAAGCACAAGAAAAAAAGAGCCCTTGGATTATAAAAAGAGGGGGGTGGCTAGCTCGCGCGCACACGCGAGGACGTTAAGGTGCGCGCATACGGACCTTCGCTTTAGTAGCGCTTAGCGCTTTTCTCGAAAGAAAACAATGCGCATGACGCTACGGTAAAGTAAAGTGATTAACGAAAATGCTACAGTAATTTATCAATAAAAAAATAAAAACAATTGATTTTGAAATTTTGAGTTAAAAGTTTTCAAATATTGACTTGAAAATTTTAAAAATAAGATTTGAAAGTTTTTGAATTTTGAGTTGAAAGTTTTTGAATTTTGAGTTGAAAGTTTTCGATTTTAATATGAAAAGTTTTCAATTTTGAGTTGAAAATTTTTAAATTTTGAGTTGAAAGTTTTCAGATCTCGAGTTAAAAGTTTCAAACCTGAGTCGAAACTTTTCAAATCTGAGTCAAAAGTTTTCAAATCTCAAGTTGAAAGTTTTCAAATCGGAGTTGAAAGTTTTCAAATCTGAGTTGAAAGTTTTCAAATCTAAGTTGAAAATTTTCAAAATTTGACTTCAAAATTTAAATCTTAAGTCAAAAGTTTTCAAATGTAATTTAAAAATTTTCTATCTATTAGTAAAAAATCTCAAAGAAAAACTTTCATTAATTACTATCATTATCCTTAAACAATTAGTTACGTTAAACGCGCGCTATGAAAAAAAGAATCTCGATCAGCGCTGGCGGCACCACGCATACGGGCCGTGTGGGCCGGAAGTGCTCGCCCACGGCGCGTACGCGCGAATTAGGAATCCTATCTTACTATAAAGTTATCCCCCACTAACTCCTTAAGCTTAACATGCAAAGATGCCACATCATCATCCACTAACAAGATGCCACATTATCATCCACTAATTAACAAGATGCCACATCATCATCCACTAACAATCATCACATTTAAACATCATGCAAACAAGCTATATCTTTATAGTTTTTATAATTTAAGAGCGTTTCAAATACAAATATGTTAAATTATCATCCAACATAATTCACATAATATTTCAATGTATATCTTTATTATGTTTTATGATATCCTATATACCTATATAGTTCATCCTCACTTAGTTAGTGTTTAAATGATTAATCTATGGTCTAAATTATTTTTTCCTTTTATTCTTTTAACTAAGTTATATCACATCAATTGTTTTTAGCCTTTAGATGATTAATCTACGATACAAACTATCTCTCTACTTTTCTTCTTTCATAAAGTCACACCACCTTACTATTTATGTTTGAATCACCATTCTACATACTATTTAAATTATCCTTAAGCTTAACATGCAAAGATGCCACATCATCATCCACTAACAATCATCACATTTAAACATCATGCAAACATGCTATATCTTTATAGTTTTTATATTTTAAGAGCTTTTCAAATATAAATATGTTAAATTATTATCCAACATAATTCACATAATATTTCAATGTATATCTTTATTATGTTTTATGATATCCTATATACTTATATAGTTCATCCTTACTTAGTTAGTGTTTAAATGATTAATCTATGGTCCAAATTATTTTTCCTTTTATTCTTCTAACTAAGTCATATCACATCAATTGTTTTTAGCCTTTAGATGATTAATCTACGGTACAAACTATCTCCCTACTTTTCTTTTTTCATAAAGTCATACCACCTTACTATTTATGTTTGAATCACCATTCTACATACTATTTAAATTTAAATTATCATAAACCACATTAATTTACTTAATCTGATGTTATCTAGCTATCTTACATGTTATTATTTTATTGTTATCATACTAAATTTCCGCAGCAATGCGCGGGGTTTCACCTATTCGTGTGAAAAGAGTGTCAACCACTCCTATCTGCAATCTCCCAACTCCGTGGGCCAAGGCCTGGCCCATCCAAACGAGCCTTTTGTGGGCCTTCTCGCAGTCCAGCCGGGCAGCCGGCTAGGCCCGAATCGACGCGGGCCCACCAGGTCGGGCAACCAACGGTGGGGGCCCACCGCCATCCGACCGTTTCGACGGCTTCCCCGTCCGTAACCGCTAACGCCGTTACGTCTCCGTTTCCGCTCCGTCACCCCGTTTCACCGCTCTCCGGACCTCCGGTCAATCGCAGTCAAAAGGCTCCCCGCTCCCCCGTCCCCTTCCCCCTCTCGCCCTCTCCTACCCAACTTCTCGAACTCTCCAAACCCTAGCTTTTTCCTCCTCCCCCTCCTCCGCGAATCTTCCATGCCCGACGGCTATCCGGCGGCGCCGCCCGGGATGGAGCGCCCTGCCCCGGAGGCGGCGGCTGCGGCGGCGGAGCCCCCTGGGGCGAAGGCGGAGGAGGAGGAGGAGGGGCCGAAGGATGTGGGGGTGAAGGGTACGGGGAAGGAGAAGGAGACAGAGAAGGTTGAGGCCGAGAAGGAGATGGAGGGGAAGGGGAAGGGGAAGGAGTCGATGGAGGTGGAGGAGGGGAAGGAGAAGGAGGGTAAGGGGAAGGCGAAGGAGAAGGAGAAGGAGACGAAGGTGAAGGTGAAGGAGGAGGGTGGGGAAGAGAAGGAGAAGGGGAAGGTTGAGGTGGTGGAGGCAAAGCGGCGGCCGGCTGGTGTTGGCGCGGAGACACCCATCCTAGCGGTGCCGATGGTGGCCGTGCCATGCTTCTTGGCGTCTCCTGCATTTGCGGTGAGTGGTGCCATTTCTCTTTGTCACTAACTAGGGGCATTTTGTTTTAAGGCGAGGGAGAGATCCATGGGCGGAGAATATTAGGGTTTTGATGGGTTGGGTTCACCTCGGTCAGGTTATCCGTGGCATGTTAGTGATGATTTTATTCTGGTCACTAGTTAGCCCATCATAACTGCAGCTAAATTGTAGCGTGATGCCATTTCTATGATACGAATCGCTAGAAATGGGCAGGTTTGCAATGCCGTATCCCCTCTGTCTGTTTGTGATAGATTTTGGGAGGCCACCTGCATTGGATTTAGGATATTCTTGATACTCTCTATCTGAAGCAAGCTTAGTTGATGGTAACTGTGGGAAATTATGCACTGCTATTGTGGGGGGATATGGTGTAACGTTGTTTTATTGAAAAATAACTTCCTACATATAATTGAACAACATTTACAAGACTGATTTCCATTATATATATATATATATATATATATTTTTTTTTTCATCATACTGCCTAATATAATGCTGTGTGATGTAATGGAACATGAAATTCCATTGAATTGGCATAAGTTTACATGTTAAGGTATGATTGAACAAATTAATATTGTACTAGTAGCTATTCTGTTTATTTAACACTATGTTATGCTATCTGCATGCTATCTTGTTAGTCTTTAGTTGAACACAGATAATAAAACTTGAATATAGTCCAATGAGAATCCCGTCAAATCCCGTCAAACTTGAATATAGTCCATATCAACAAAGTTCAGATTATCTCTCTTTTAACTCGACATATGTTCTGTATTTTACTTTGGTGGTTTTCTTACATGTGTGCAAATAATCATTATGGAAACTAGGGTCACTTTTCAATGAGCCATCAAGCAGCTTTGGCGAGTGTGACGGCTCAGGCACAAATACAATTGCAGTCACCAACCACACCATATTCAGAAGGGCTGCCCAGTCCATTTCCTATAACACCTAAAGCTGTAATGCCCCTGCAGCGATCACCTTCAGGAACTGAAGGGAGTGTTCGCAGATCAGTGTTAGAGAAGTCAGCCTCATTTCAGTCAAGACCACACAATCATGTGTCTGTAAACATGGTTGGTGATGGCTTCAACTGGAGGAAGTATGGTCAGAAGCAAGTGAAAAGTAGTGAAAATTCCAGGAGTTACTATAGATGTACCAACTCTAATTGCTTGGCTAAAAAGAAGGTCGAGCATTGTCCTGATGGCCGCGTGGTGGAAATCATTTACAGAGGAACACATAATCATGAACCGCCACAAAAGACCAGATTTGTGAAAGAGAGAGTGGCTCATATTACTGCTTCCTCTGGAGATGATGAAACCTTGGGACTTGTGAACAATGAAATTATAGAATCCCCGTCACCGGGATGTAAATTAGAGCCGGGTGCTGTCTCTGAAGCTTCTGAACAGCAGCTTTTTTGCTCAAGTGATTGTGAAGGTGATGCTGGTAACAAATCAGAAGATGATCATCCTAGCACAGAGCCTCAGCCAAAACGAAGGTGAATTGTAGTACTAGGCTAATTTATTCATATTTTGTCATTGAGTTGTCCCTAACTTTGTTTTCTACATCTTATTGTTCTATCAGCAGAATAATTGAAACTAGCACACCTTTGACTCCAGTTCTCAGAACTGTTAGAGAGCAAAAGATTATTGTACAGGCTGGAAAGACGAGTGATGGGTATAGATGGCGCAAATATGGACAGAAAATTGTTAAGGGAAATCCAAACCCTAGGTATGAATTGGTATCTCGTCCAATTGATCATTCATGCTGCATCTTTTTCGTTAATTTGAATGTTGCTTCTGTTTTTATTATTTGAGTACCCTCCAATTCAAGTACAACAGTCTAGAGCAAATTTATAAATTGTTCACTTTGCCTTCAAATAGGATTAATTGCCTAAACCCACTTGCCATATTGATTGTCTTGTTATTTCTGAGGATCTTAGCACATATTCCTCCACTGAGGAGTCATACCTATTTTTCACTTGCTAGTTTTTTTTGGTTATTATCTCCTGTGATATGTTATTATTGTTATTGGTTTTTTTTCTTTTTGTTGTTATATAGTATATTATTAGTACTACTAGTAGAGGCATGCGAAGAAATTTGAGAAAATAGAAGGAAGGAAAAAAGAGAAGGAAAAAGAAAAGGAAGAGGAGAAAAATGGAAATAATAATGCAAAGAGTTAATTGCATATTGGACCGGCTTTCTTTATCATGGTTGCAACTTGAGCAAGAAATGCTATTGTTTTCACTTTGGGCTAGTAATTTTTACAAAATGTTGCACTTAGGACCTAGTGTTCTTCTTCCAGCTCTGCTCCCTCACTCTCTCTACCTTCAGTTTGAGATTCACATGCCTGGCTGTAGTTGGTTCCGGTAGAGATGGAGCTCAAGCTCCGCCAGTACAGTATATGCTCGAGCTCTACTCAGCCTTCGCCACCCCTGCCACACCCACATTCATTCGTGCTCAAGATTTGATGTGCATTGTTGATTAAGTGCCCTAGCCCCAATCAAGCTAGTGCAGCCATAGATGAACTTAGGCTAGAATGGGCCTATTGACTAGTTGGTGGAGCAGAAGTGTGGAGTGATAAACACATGGTGTTAGAATTTCCCACCGTGTCACCGTGATTCATTGGATATGCGCTTGAGCTCAAGCTAGAGCTCCGTCGTGCGCCGTGTCGAGCTCAAGCCGGAGACTACCACACACTCAAGCTCAGGCGCTAACGTAGGTCAAGCACGTGGATGGGACCAAAACAGAGGAAGAAGAAGAGAAGAGTGGTGAGCTTGAACCAAAACAGGGGAGAGAGAAGAGAAGAGGAGATCCAGAGGAAGAAGAAGACCGGTCCAATATGAAAGTTTTTGCAAAGATTTCTTGTTCCAACTTGCAACAATGGTCAATAAGAGTGGCCCAGTATGCAATTTACTAACGCAAAATACATTTCCCCCCTTCCTGCTGCACTGTAGCGGGAAGGGGGTTAAATGCATTTTGCTGCCACGGTGTGCTGCAGAGAGCCAAATGCAAAATGCTTGCCAGCGTGGAGGGCCTCATTGCCTAGTCCTACATTTTGGTGTGATGCACGATTGCACACGTGCACCAAACAAGGGCATTTTGGTCATAACTTCCAAACAAATCTCACCTAGTTCTATATCCTACCTCCATACTTGATCTCGCTAGTGTCAGTGTCATGCACTGAGTTATCACAACAATGCCCAGTGCACCAGAGTGACCATTCTATTGATGGAAAAACAGTGCGCCGCCAGATCTGATCCTGTAAAATGTGATCCTATATACTGCTCTGCTTCCAATCTATCATCTCCACTCGGCCCTGTTCGTTTCTCCTACTAGTAGAGGATAAAATTTTGGATTATCGTGGCACGCTTTTCAAACTACTAAACGATGCGTTTCGTGCGAAAATTTTCTATATGAAAGTTGTTCTAAAATATCAGATTAGTCCATTTTTGAAGTTTGTAATAATTAAAACTTAATTAATCACATGTTATTACCACCTCGTTTTGCGTAAAACACTTAATCTCTATCTTCATCTTCATCTTCAGGAGATTCAAACACCACCTGAATGTTGTTGACACCAGTCACAATTTCACGCTCACCTTCATCACTTTACCTGTGTTTTCATAAATAGATAGCCTTCATATATTTTGTGTGTTATGAAGCATTATCTTTCTGGACAAATTTTGCTACAGCCATGCTGCAATGAATTCTACTTGCATAGCGCAACTAGTTGCACAAATATAGTAGTTACAAGATAATGAAGGTACAGGTTAATACCACTTTTATCTATTTACTTAAGAAATTACTGTAAAATCTCTATGCAACAAAACCTCGTTAAGCTTGCATAAATCAATTTAGGTCTAATGCTCACATGAAATAAAATTGATTTTTTTTTTGGTCCTTGCATCCTATTTTCCAAGCTTGTCAATTCTATTCCAGAGGTCATTCTGGTTTGCTCTTGGATGGAACATTCTGATAACAGCTGATACATGTGTACTGTTTAATAAAATAACATAAGTTTATTATTCCAATCATACGTGTTTAATTGTGGATATATAATATTCCAATGAATATAAGTTTAAGAATGCATTTATATTATAATTTAGATTTTAGAAGCAAGTTTAAGTGATGCGGTTATTAGGTTGTGTATTTAGAGTGCTTTTGAGCTGAGGCTGGAGTGAAGATGGAATGCGATGTATGCTAGTCATGTACTTGGGGTGACGGCAAAGTTAGAGTTGCATAGTTTCTAAATTTTCACTCAACGCTATGTTTGAAGCATGTAGTCCTAGGGGCATTCTCATTTTTGCGATGTCTACCAGCAAATAACACAAATTTTGAGTCATGTAGCAAATTTTGCTGCGAAACAAGGCAAATGGTAACTCAAATTTTGGTCGGTATCAGTATCGCCAGAATGGTGCTGGAATTGATAGGCTTTTCTTTTCTGAGAAAAGATAGCCTATTATTTTTTTTAACCAGACGTCCTGTTTTGCACTGTACAATTTCTATTAGTGGTAGGCTTGCTGTTCTTTTACACTGAAAAAGAAGTTCATTTCATTCTTTTTTCTGGTAGTGTGTACAACAAGTTAATATGAGTGATTAACCAAGCAGGAGCTACTGCATTTTTTATAAGTTCTTATTAATTTCTTTTGTTCTATACAGGAGCTACTACCGTTGTACTCATGATGGGTGCCCTGTCCGTAAGCATGTTGAGAAGGCACCAGACGATGATAACAATATTGTTGTGACCTATGAAGGTAAGCACAACCATGATCAACCGTTTAGAAACAACAGTGAGTCGAAGGATGGGCCTGTTCCTATGATCATTCCAGCAGAGACAACATCTGAGCAGCCCAGCACAATGACCTCAACATCAGAACAGAAACAGCCGATCAGTCTGCTGAAGGATGGCGGCGATGAGCCCATGAAGGGCAAGACTTCAGAAATCGGTGGTGAGAAGGCAGTGGAGTCTGCGCAAACCCTTATCAGCATTAAAACTAATCCCGATGACATGAAGAATACCCTCTTGAAAGATACTTCCGCGGTAGTTCCTGTCCAAAATAATTGATCCTGTGAGGTTAGGGTTGATTCGATTAATGTATTAGTTTGTGGTATTTATTGGTTCGGGGAGCTATTGTTGTGTTAGATTCTGTACATGAGTTGAGGGCCGGCATTCTGTGGAGCACCATTGGATAGAAGCATCTAGGCTCGGGAAGCCATGATACTTACAGTTGTCCCCCTTGTATAGATCTCCAAACCCCTAGTGTGTATAGGTACTGTATCGCTTACTGAGGCTAAGCAACAAGGAGACCTGAGAAACTTCATGTGTGGGGTGCTCTGCTTGGATTCATTGCACATCTAAGCCGATCCATGCCATGATATGTTTATTGTATCTGGTGTTATATCATAAAAACGTGCAAGGTGTATGCCATTTCCATTCTATAAACAGAGTAACACAGGCTGCATCGCTTGTCTGCTCGGTGAGCAGTAGACAAGGTGAGTTTGGGCATTTCATGCGGTTGTATGTGGAACATTTGTAGCTGAACTGAACGACTACAAGACACATTGAATCAGAGCCAGGCAAGGAGCTTTTGCTGCTCACTTGCTCAGGCGAGCTCACTGTAACCGTGCAGATCTATGTACAGTGCAACAAGAAGATGATGGTCTTCATCATGTTTGAGCCAATGCAACGCTTGGGGCGGCCTTGAACTCCTTCACCGCCTTCTTGACGGCCTCGACGTCGATGTCGATCAGCTTCCCGGTCTCCGACGCGACGACGGTGCAGCCCTTCTTCTCCTCCAAGTACGGCAGGAACAGCCTCGCCTTCTCCTTGGATGAGAAGAGAGCCACGCTGCAAAGATTCAGGAAAACATCAATGCCATGAGCAGTTCATCCTCTGAAATAATAACCATTCCAAAATCTGGAGATGCAGATCGCAGCTCAGTTGATCTAACCATGGCTTGTCCCTGGCGTTGGCGAGCTGGACGGCGGCGGTGTTGGTCGCGACGACGCCGACGGAGTCGTTGATGAGGCAGGTGAGCTTATCATGGATCACAAAAAGAAAACACTCAGTAATAAAGAATTGTAATGTTACCTGTGAAAGATGATCTAAGGTGTTTTCAGATTGCAAAGTGATTGTAATGAAGAAGCATCAAAGAACCTACTTGGCCAGGAGTGGTGATGAACAGGATATTGGTGTCCTTCCCCACAGTCTCCTCAACCTCTTCCCTGTGCTTCTGATGAGGGATCACAAACAGAGGCTTCAGACCATTGTCTTCAGAGCTGCCAAGACACCACCATTTTTTTGGCTTTAGTTCTACCTTCTCACAATCGGTACCAAGCTGGAAATGTAAGTGTAAGAGCAGCCGTGCTTGAGTGAGTGAGTGAGGTGAGGTGAAAAACCTGATCTCCTTGGCGATCTCAGCCCAATGCTCGAGAGGGAGGAGGCAGTCATCGTCCCCCCTCGACCTCATGTTGGCGAAGGAGTCGGAGGCGATGCCGTGGACGACGACGAACTTGCCCTTCTCGACGCCGGCACGGCTATATTTGTCCTCCACGAACGCTCGGAGCTTCTTGGAGATGGACACCCGCAACGGCGGTACCGGGTGCTCCGGCACACCCTTCGCTGGCCGCCCAATCCACTCCAACATGTCCTGATACCTAATCCATCCAGTTGCACACTCTTCGAAATCAGAAAGCATTTTGCAAGAATTTTATAGGATTTTGACGGTAATTGGTTCAACTCTTCTACAAGAATAATTGAGCAAGATTCCTAAGTTGCAAAAGAAGAGCTAGGCAATATCTGCTTTACTATAAGGGTTATAACTCTGCCTCTGCTTGTTTGTCTTATTAGCCGCAACCAAATATTAAATTTTAAAATTTAATTTTAGATTTGATTTTGAGTTTTCCTTATCATAGTTTATTTCTCAATATTGACTTTTGAACCATTAAGAACAGTTAAAAGTTTTGCCAACAAATCATATTCGGTTGCCTAGTTCATTTTGTTATGGCTTTTCAACCTAAATCAAAGGCAAAAGATGAGACAGTTGCCCCTATATAAATTAAATGCAACTATACAGCACAAGAATGCCAAAGCAGTAACTTTTTCGGATGAGGAAATTATAACAGTTATGAACCAAGGGGAGGCGAAACCGCGGAGAAGAGGAGGATGATGATCTTACATGTTGTAGCCGCTGTCGGCGAGGTTGGTGGTCGGCGGCCGGAACATCTCGGTGAGGAACAGCCCGGCGCCGGCGCTGTTGACGTTGGGGTAAACATAGCCGACCTTGTCGCGGGCCGACGACATGAAGAGGAAGAGCGCGTGCCCTATCCCGGCCAACTTGGTCGATATGATCAGATCATAGTACCTGTTCTGCCAACCTCAACACAAAATCAAGCTTCAGTTGGTTGAATCTTTCATGATAAATATAATCTAATCAAAATACTGAGCATATGTGGTGGGGAAGCAACATAATTAAGCAGGTTTATCTGATATTATTATGTTTAGAGAATCACAATAAATTTTGAACAAATTCAGCGCATATATCGAACCGGCTCGAGATGTGCAACTCCAATGGTTTGTTTGAAATTTGTCGAAATTAATGAAAAACCGATTACTCACTATGGCTCGAAAGTCGAAATCTGCTGACCATTAGAGAATGTAAACCTGGGCTGGGCATGACACTTCTGAAGGAGAGAGAATTCTAATCTCTCGAGAGGATATCTTCTCGTGTAATTTTTATTTTCTAAATTCAATGTAATTGGTTGTGAAAAATTCTAAAAAAAAATGACAATGCATAATAACATCTATTACTCCATAAAAACATATTTAAATTCGATCTATGCTTTGAGGAAACAAAAGACGAATTCAGACATGACACTACTCATATGTTGGATTTTTTTTTAATTATTTCTCAATGTGTGAGTTGAATTTTGACTTGATTTTTTTTTGAGTACTTTACACGTACGGTGTGTATGTTGTCAATTTTGAAAGAATTCTTAACAATTATTTAGATGAAGTTTGAATAAACGAGTGGACATAATCCCTTCTCGATCGAGTTTAAAACATATACATCCCCACTTTGAGTGACTATTTCTGTACGTAGCAGTGACATAATTTTTGGTTTACCTTGAGCACGCCGAGCTGGTGGGTGTACTCGGCGGGCTCGGGCCAGTCGTCGTCGGGGTCGTAGACGTCGGCGTACCTGACGTTCTTGCACATCTCGTACACCTGCTTCCCCCTCGCCGACGCCACCACGTCCACCACCACCCCGGGGTACCTGTCCCGCAGCAGCTGCACCACCGGGAAGAAGAGCACGTTCTCGTACACCCCGCCGGACACCACGCAGCACGCCCGCCGCACGTCGCGCCGCACCTTGGATGCCAGGCTATCCAGCTCCGGGTTGTACCCCGCCGGGAACCGCAGGAACCCGTACGGGTTCGCCGGGTCCTCCGGCGGCCGCGGGTCCTCCTCCTGCTTCCCCCCCGAGAACGCGCCGCGGTAGTCGAACTCGTCGTCGGGCCCGTCGTCGAACGGGTCCAGCCACGGGTTCTTCTTCTTCGCCGACGCCCGCGCCACGCCCGCGCCGCCGCGCCGCCCTAGCTGCAGCAGGTGGCAGCAGCATTGCCTCGCTATCGGCAGCGACGGCGGTGAGGGGAGCTTCGCCGGCGTGGCCATGGACGTCGACATGGTTGGCGTCTGCATGCTTGTTGCAGAGTGAGTGTGCTGATGAGTTGCTTTGGATATTGCTATTGTTTTTATTTATTTATTTCTATGTTTTTTGTTTTTTGGTGTGTGGAGGAGGGGTTTGGATGTGGTGGGTTAGGGATGTGTGGAGGAGGAAGGATAAAGTGCACGATGATGGTGCCAATTGGTCCTGTTTTCTTGTGCCACCATTCCTCGATCTCCTTTAATTTGGTTCATCCTTTTTGTTGATGTGGCAGCTGGCAAAATCCCTCCGAAAATTCTTTTGGAGTTTGGATTATACTTGTGAGTTTCTACAAGGATCTTTCAGAATGGAGTAATTGTAGAAGATTTATCTTTATGACAGCTGAACTAATCCTATCTTACTATAAAATTACCCCCCACTAACTCATTTAAGCTTAACATGCAAAGATGCCACATCATTATCCACTAATTAACCAGATGCCACATCATCATCCACTAACGATCATCACATTTAAACATCATGCAAACATGTTATATTATCTATAATTTTATAGTTTTTATAATTTAAGAGCTTTTAAAATACAAGCATGTTAAATTATCATCCCACATAATTCACACAATGTTTCAATGTATATCTATATTTTATAAAATCCTACTCCATCCGTTTCACAATGTAAGTCATTATAGCATTTCCCACATTCATATTGATGTTATGACTTACATTGTGAAACGGAGGAAGTACATACTTATATAGTTCATCCTCACTTAGTTAGTGCTTAAATGATTAATCTATGGTCCAAATTATATTTCTCCTTTTTTCCTCTAATTAAGTCATATCACATCAATTGTTTTTAGCCTTTAAATGATTAATCTACGGTCCAAACTACCCTACTTTTCTTCTTCCATAAAGTCATACCACCTTACTTTTTACGTTTGAATCACCATTCTACATACTATTTAAATTTAAATTATCATAAATCACATTAATTTACTTAATTTGATGTTATCTAGCTATCTGTCGGAGATATGGGCCCGGGGGTATGTAAAGTGAGGGGAATTTACCTTCCCATCCAGCTACGTGGCCCTGCAGCCTGGCCCTACCCCCGCACCTCGCGAATCGCAGAAGCGGCCGGGGGGCCTCAGGGTGCCACGTCATGCCCCTCGGGCCCTCGCGCTGCCCTGCCCCGAGGACCTCGCCCGACTGCCATGTGGCAGGGGGAGCGAGCGGGGAGGGGACCCAGGCTGAACCGCTATCAATGCGCGCGGCGCCCCAACTGCCCCTCACCGCATTTAATGCGGTAGGGGCAGACATGCGGTGCCGTCCGACTGACGCACGTCAGTCAGGACTAACCAGTCTGTCACCGGCCTGTTGCCGGTCACGTCTGACTGGACGGGCGGCCGTGCCCCCACGTCGCCTTTTTCTCCAGCGGAGTGGAGGTAGGTGTGTCCTGTCACATCGGAGCGTCATCCGGAGTTCTCCCGACATGAGGAGGACGGCCAAAGGTCTCTGCCCATTTATAAGGGAATGACAGGGCTGTCCCCCGTGTTAGGAAGGGGGCGGCGCTGGGTCCCACTCAAGGACGGGCCGCTGCTTAGCTTCCGGGTGAAGGCACAGATCGTGGCCCGGTCAAGGTAAAGTGGGTCCCCCTCCCATGAAAGAGTAGGTAGAGGCGATGCATGTGGTATCCCCTTGAACTATAAAAGGAGGACCTTGCCCACCGAGAAAAGGGACGACTCTCAGTAAGCCTAAACTCTAGAATAAGAAGAGCGAGAGCCCTCTCCGGAGTTTAGGGGCCCTTGTAGCACTCAACCATAATCCCACACACAGGAGTAGGGTGTTACGCTCCATAGCGGCCCAAACCTGTATAATCTTGGTGCCCGCACGCGATTTAGTAGCATTCAGGGCGGATACGTGATTTCTAAAGGCGAGCTCTTTCCCTCGGCCGAACTCACAAAAGGGGATCTCACGATCTCCCGCTAGAGAGGATCACTCCTCGACACTATCTTACACATTATTTTTTCATTGTTATCATACTAAATTCCTGCAGCAATGCGCAGGGTTTCAGCTAGTTCTTTATAATAATTTGCCTTCCAAGGGATTCTCACTGAAGCAAGCCCATTTTAGAAGCTAAGGGAGGTAACGTAAGCCATACAAAGATAATATAGTGCATAGCTTTTTGGAGTTAGGTGAATTCTAAGAGCAAGGACAATAATATAGGGCCTAGTTTAGTTCTCAACTTTTTCTTCAAACTTCCAACTTTTCCATCACATCAAAACTTTCCTACATATACGAACTTCCAACTGTTCCGTCACATCATTCTAATTTCAATCAAACTTCCAATTTTGGTGTGAACTAAACATAGATGTCTATTTATAGTAATTTTTATCCAACTATAAATAACCTTGTAGCCAATAAACACAACAACTAACTATACTACTATGGCTCACACTTTGCATGAAAAAATATTTTAATCTCCCACGATGGTCCCTTCCCAGGAGCTTGATGAAAAAAAGGAAGGTTGGGCCCCATAGTGTTGCTTACTTTTTCTTGGGACAAGCATATAGCTTGTTTCTCTAACCTCGTCTTCTTTCTCTTCCACCTAGGTAGGCAATAATTTGATGTGGAGACCACTATCATCCGCTGATATAGGTTTATTGTACCTGCTCTTACGTAGTATGATAATATAGGATCTGTTCAGTTGTCTGTGCTAGATTGTTTCATACTGTGGATATAGATATAGCATGTCTAGTTGTTACTCAGATAAAACTAACGATATATGCCTTTCAATATTCTTAAGATAATAAAAATTCATTCTGATATTTGTTCCAAAAAAAGCTACACCAAATTATTATAGAGGTTACTAGATAAAAACGACTGCGAGTTACCAAATCTTAACTTGATTAAAAAGAACACTTAAAACACCATCTCAAAGACAAAGATTTTCATATGTGGTTAGTGAGAATCTATGTAACCATGCGCATAACCATAGTTTCTTCACAATGGCTTATCCTTGTTTTCATTAAACTAAAAATATAGTCTTCAAAATCAGCGGCCGATCACTGTGTTAATCAAATTGCACACACATCATCATCAGTGAACTGAAACGAACCAAAGTGCAAAATAATGTTGGCCCAGATAATTGCAAATCGATCCAACAAAAACACATCTACCAAGCACGCCATATCAACATGGAGCCTCCGATACGACATCTAGGACGTTTTCATTGCTATTCTAGCCTTATGGAACTAAGTTTTCAATCAAAGATTATACTTCGAAGCACAAAGATGAGGAAGGGGGCGTCAACGACATTGCCTTCAATGCAAGAAGCTATGTGGCGTCCACAGGTGTCACTGACATCAATGCTCTCCTAGTCCAAGATTTGCATTGATATGAGCTCAACCTCCTCCTCAGTGTTGAGCGGCAACAACGATAGTGAGGGAGGTGGTTGGCCATGGGAAGGAAGGGGGTGAGGCATGCACTCTGGTGGCACCCTGTCACACCATGAGAGTCCGATGAAGCTATTGATAAGATGAAGGCATCTCGTAGCCCTAGCAACAACTCTGATGGTGACAAAAATAGCACGGTTTTATATATAGATCACCGGAAGCCAAATCCAGCTAGACCCCACCACTACCTTCCTCAAGGGTCACCATTTCTAACGTTCCCCTTCAGCGATGGTGAGGAACGGGAATCGCCTTGCTTACATGATTGGTGACGCAGAAGGTGGTATTATTTACCAACACACAATTTCTAACATTTCAAGTATTATTTACCAACACACAATTCTAACATTTCAAGTCTCGTATGAATCAAACCACAATAACAACTTGATTGAATAAAAGTAGATGAAACATGTATGAGCAATAGTGCCTCAAATCTCACATATTAAATGCACTGATAATCTAAGTCAAAGCATGGGAGTGCTAAGTGCTAAGATAACAAACTTAGAGCAAGTTTAATAGTATAGCCAACTACTAGCTCCAATTTATCTATAGCCAATCTAATAGCTCATTTATATAATAGTTACATACTATACTATTATTACTCCAATTTACATGACTTTGGTAGTATACAAGAAATAAATAAAAATTAAACTTAGGTGCACCAGCCACTGCTGAGTTGCAAAAACTGGACTCACGTGTCATCCAGTGAAAACATCAATTCGCGGACTACACCACCCCCGGACGCAGTGGAGCATCGCCGATCGCCACCGACAGATCTTAGCTCCATTTCCTCAAGATACGAAACCTCCTACCCTTATCTCACTGACTAGTGGGCCCACGCAGCATGATGGTCCACACGTCAGTGGGTGTGAAAGGATACTTTTCCCACCACCGCAACACCATCACCAACCAGCCTTTTTTTCTTCCTCCTCTCTGTGGCCGCGCACCTAACCGTTCTCACTGACGTGTGGGACATGACGGGCTTGGTGGGGCCCACCTGCCTGAATTTGGCATGAACGCAAGCAAAGCCCCCCACCCACGTCGTTGCGACGTTCCCGTCTGTCTTGCTACACACACCAAGACAAAGTTTACCCGCACCAAACAGCCACTCACTGACATGTGGGCCGACCGGGGTGCCCCTCTGGTGGACCCCATAGGTCAGCCAGATGTAGGCTCTGCCGGATTCGATTTACAGATGCTTGGTGCACCCACTGACACGAGGGCCCGCACGCCCGCGAAAAATACCGGTAGAAGGAAGCATTTCCAGACGCGGCACGGTACGTGCACAGATAGTTCGCCGACGAGATGCACAAAGAACTCACTGACATGTGGGCCCAGATAGCCGGTAAGCTCAAGGTGGACCCACATCTCAGTGTGCGCGTAGTGGAGTGGCTCACGTGCGCGGAGCGAGGCGTGGTTTGACCCCTCTCGTCTCGCTCGTCGCGGCCACCTCTCTTTCTCTCTCTCTCCATTAAAACAGCACCTCGTCGCAACGGAAAAGCGCAATCTCGTCTCGCCATTCTCTCTCTCACACACACACCTCGCGTCGCCTCCCTCCCCGAGCGAGCGAGCGAGCGTGCGCGTGCCTACGCCCTCCTCTCTACCGCCATGGCGATCTCGCCGGTGGCGGCGATGGCGCTGGCCATCGCCCTCGCGGCGCTCTGCCTCGCGGGGCTGGCCGCCGGGTTCTACCTCCCAGGCGTCGCGCCCAACAACTTCGACAAGGTGTGCCCACTCCTTCCTCTACTCTCCCCTTTATCCTCTTTCACGGCATGATCTCTCCGCTGCGTTTGTTTTTTTTTTGTCGGATCTGGGGTTGGGGTGGCCAGATCTACGGCCCGCGCTGTTGCGCCCGCCGCGAGATCTGGGTGTCGGTGGTGGTGGCATGTACTAGGGGGGGGGGGGGTAGATTAGGATGCGAGATCGTGCGCCAATGCAGGTGGTGTTGGGAATGTATGTCTGGATGCTGAGAAACCCACGCTGAAATCATGTTCCGCGTTCAGAGTGCGTTGAATGAAACCGTGTGCGTAGGGAGACGCGCTGATCAATGTGCGCGGTTTGCTGCATCAACAAATACCTGTAAGGTGGCATCGTAGTATGAGCTTGTTGGGTATTGATGCTTAATTGCGGTTGCTATCGGTCATGGTAGGTTATTAAGTGATGTGTAGTTTTGGAAGATATGATTGGACATTTTGGGGCTGTAAACCTGGGTAGTACATGTCCAAACAAAACTTAGTTTTTCCCAATTGGGGTCCCAACTTGTTTTACCATGTGACAAACAATAGTTTAGGTCGTATGTTTTTAATTGTTCACCTTCCAAAAAAAATGGTTATACTTTTTTTAGTTGATTCCGTTTCTATGTTTGTGCTAGTTATTAACATCTGACTGTCTTTGTAGTAGTCATGCTCATAGATGAAACGAAGGGTTTAACGCTTTCAGTATGCATCAATATGAGACTACCGGACAAATTACTTGCTATTTCTAACTATAGTGATATTTCTTTGTTTACAGAAAGATCCTCTTCAAGTGAAAGTCAACAAATTGACATCAATCAAGACCCAGCTTCCCTACTCTTATGTCGACAGTGCTCAAAATCTCGGTGAAGTTCTTCGTGGTGATCGAATCGAGAACTCTCCATACACGGTTTGTTACTCTATCGCGTTTTCTTTGATTATTTCTTGATATATTGGTCCTAAGGTTAATATTTTAACTTCTATTCTTTCCAGTTTGAAATGAGAGAGCCTCAAATGCTGTCAAATAGTCTGCAAGATTTCTGTCGGGGAGAAAGAAGCAAAGATTCTCAAGGAAAAGATTGAAGATGAGTACCGTGTGAACATGCAAGCTAGTGTAACTTGGTTTCTTGATTCTAAGAGCTTATTCATGGCTGCCAAATATTCTAAACATTCATTTTCTCAACATGATTCTTGACAACTTACCTCTAGTTGTTCCAATTAAAAGAATGGACCAAGAAGGTGCATATTTCTATCAGCATGTCTTCCATGTTGGAGCCAAAGGACAATATGCAAGGGTAAGTGTAACTTTGAGTATTGATCACATGCTATGAAAATGCAAAGTTCTTATATCGTGCACTTTCTTCCCTTTTTCTGTTTGTACTTGGCAGAGCAAGGATGAAAAGAGCTTCATTCACAACCATTTATCATTTACTGTGAAGTATCACAGGGATGCCCAAAGGGATGTTTCTAGGATAGTTGCATTTGAAGTGAAACCATACAGTTATGCTGCATGTGATTTATTAAACAAGTAGGCCTTTGAAGTATTTGGATGTTGACTGTCCTTCCTGCTGTTAAATTTACACTAAAAACTATGACATATGCTGCAGCGTTAAACATGAATACGAAGGACAGTGGAATGACAAGAAGACCCGCCTGACCACTTGTGATCCTCATGCAAAACATATAATTACATCATCTGATTCTCCCCAGGAGGTTGAAGTTGGCAAAGACATAATATTTACTTATGATGTGGATTTCAAGGTGAGATATATGTGCACTTTTTTCCGATCGTTCTGCTCTAATGAAATGATCGCAGTAGCTAGAAATTGTTCAGTGTGCACTAGATGGAGTGCTAATATTTTGTTACCATCTATGCGTCCTTTTGACTATTCTGTCAATTTGCAGGAGAGTGATATCAAGTGGGCATCTCGCTGGCTGGGATACCTATCTACTGATGACGGATGACCAAATCCACTGGTTTTCCATTGTGAATTCCCTCATGATTATCCTCTTCCTTTCTGGAATGGTTGCAATGATCATGCTCCGAACCCTTTACCGGGATATCTCCAAGTATAACCAGCTTGGGACTCAGGAAGAAGCCCAGGAAGAAACAGGATGGAAGCTTGTCCATGGTGATGTTTTCAGGCCTCCATCCAACTCTGACTAGCTCTGTGTTTATGTCGGTACAGGAGTCCAGTTTATTGGCATGCTGCTTGTCACCATGGTCTTTGCAGTCCTTGGATTCCTTTCTCCATCAAACAGGGGTGGACTGATGACAGCGATGCTCTTGCTTTGGGTATTCATGGGGTTGCTCGCTGGCTACTCTTCTTCAAGTCTTTACAAGTTGTTCAAGGGCGCAGAATGGAAGAACATTGCATTGAGGACAGCCTTCACTTTCCCTGGCAGTGTATTTGCTATTTTCTTCTTCCTGAATTCTCTTATTTGGGGGCAGAAGTCCTCAGGCGCAGTTCCATTCACCACAATGTTTGCCCTTGTCCTCCTTTGGTTCGGTATCTCAGTGCCCCTAGTATTTGTTGGGAGTTTCCTTGGCTTCAAGAAGCCTGCAATTGAGGATCCCGTGAAAACAAACAAGATACCCAGGCAGATTCCTGAGCAGGCCTGGTACATGAACCCGATCTTCTCAATTCTAATTGGAGGAATCCTTCCATTTGGTGCTGTATTCATTGAGCTCTTTATCCTGACCTCCATCTGGCTGCACCAGTTCTACTACATCTTTGGGTTCTGATCCTGGTCATAACTTGTGCTGAGATCTCGATCGTGCTCTGCTACTTCCAGCTGTGCAGCGAGGACTATCTGTGGTGGTGGAGGTCATACTTGACATCAGGGTCTTCTGCTATCTACCTGTTCTTGTATGCAACCTTCTACTTCTTCACAAAGCTGGAGATCACAAAGTTTGTGTCAGCTGTTCTGTACTTCGGTTACATGCTTACCGCCTCATATGCCTTCTTTGCCTTGACTGGTACGATCGGATTCTACGCATGCTTCCTGTTCACTAGGCTGATGTACTCTTCTGTCAAGATCGAGTAAAGAGGCTGTCTTGCCTAATTCTTTATTGCCACGGCAAGTACTGATCCTGCGGAGTGCGGACAGTGAATATGGTCTCCAAGCTTAGTTGCCTGTGGCATCAGTTTTGAGTTTTCAAAGCTGGTAGTTAAGATGAACTGGTGATTTGTTATCCCATGATTCAGGTATCATAGCTAGCTCAGTGGTTTTTTGTTTTCATTTTCTTTTACCTTTTCTTCTTTTTATGGATTTAGCCCTTGGATCACGGCCTATTAAGTGGTTGTTGCAGAGTTAATTGTATACGAATGCTGAGTAATCCATTTCTCTCCCTATCAGAATGTTATGTACTTGTTGACCTATAATGCGACTACCATTAAAGATATTACTGCAGTTGAAATATTCATCTTCCTATTTCCTTTTTGGTCATTCAGATTTTGATATATGAAAGCATGAGGTTGGGTATTATTCAGACTACTGTGTATTCTGTCGCCTGAAATGTTTCACGGGGAAAAGAAGCCAGACAGTCTCTCGTAAGACCTGTTCTTTTTTATGTTTTATAGCTGATGCAGCTATAAAATATTGGTAAAATTTGTTACAAAACATCAAAAGATTACTCCAAACTCAACCTAGGAGTTTTTGTCTAGTACAATGAATCCCCTCCTAATACAACGAATCTAGACCATTCCCTTCTAATACAACGTATCTAGATCTCTCCTAGGTTGAGTTTTTTTAATGGAGGGAGTACAATCTTTGCATAGACAATAAAATAATATATAGTACATCTAAGTGAGAATCCGTGTCAAATGTCAGTTTTGCTCTTTTCTTCTTTCACCATCTTCATTTCTTGTGGGCATTCCAGTCACCTAGGCGACCATAGGTGCACGCTGCTCTACTTCGCTGGTGTCGAGTTCTTCTCCAAGGCCCACCTCGTTACGCCTGTCATTGACTGCTGCCCCGAGAACGCAGCTGCGCAGTTGGGATTGGATATTTGGATGGAAAAAGTACACCGAAGGTCTCTCAATTTGTCATTGAGTTACAAAATCGTTCCTCAACGGCAAAACCAAATATTGGACATCCCTTAACTAATCAGATCCTTCGGTGGTTTTGATCCGGTTTTATCCTACATGATGGCTGAGTCAGCTTGGGATCCACGTGGATCCCACATGTCAGGCTCCCACGTCATCTCTCTCCCTTCCTCCTCTCTCTCTCTCACTCTTCTCCTGTTGCAAGCCGGCCGGCAGCGAAAACGGTGGCGCCGCCACGCCACCGGAGAGGGTGGTGCTGCGGGGGGCACGCGACAGAGGTGGGCGGCGCCAGTGCTGAGGAGGAGGAGGAGGTCGTGGCGCTGTCGTCGTCGTCGTCCTCGGCGCTGGGGAAGAAGGTGGGCGCGGCGGCGGAGGGTGCTAGGGGGTTGCCGCGCCTGGTGCGGTACGAGGTGCTGGTGCTCGTGCTGCAGTTTCTGTACAGCGGGCTGTACAGGCGTCGGTGGCGACGCCTAAGAGCGGGCCGCTCCCGGGGTTGCTGGCACACGCGGTGCGGCGCTGCCGTCGACCTCGCCCTCGACACGCTCGCCGCCGCGCGCTCCTTCGGCGTCGAGCAGCTCGCCCTGCTGGTTCTGGTACTGCGAAAAATTCAGGAACACGACGTAGTGTACGCGTCATGTGCATCCTGCAGCTGCAAATAATCGAAATTCCTCTTCCAACCTTGCAATTCGAACTTGGGATCTGCTGCTAACACTGGATATTGATTAAGAGTACATGATGGTAGTTAGGCTGGCATGATTGGAGCATCTTTTTTGGTGACATTAAGGAGTCAGCAGAAGCAATGTTCAAGTCTGAGCTGATCCTGCTGCATGCTTGCCTAGATCCCTAGGTTGCATGCCCCCTTTGCCTTTTTTTCCCGATTACTGAGCGAGCTGAGCTGCACGATTCATGCACTACTGCTCTCAACTGTGGCATCTGATCCATGCGCAGTAGCTGCAGCAGAATCTAGTGCATGCCCTCACTTCATTCATCGCAATTTTTTCAAATCGTCCGGCAACTCCGCGAACCGCACCAGCCGCGGCAACCCCATAGCCTATGCCGCCGCCGTGCCCACTTTCTTCCCCGGCGCCGAGGACGACGACGACGACAGCGCCACGACCTCCTCCTCGGCACCAGCGCTGCCCACCTCCGCCGCGTGCCCCACGCAGCACCACCCTCCCTGGTGGCGCGGCGTTCTCTACTGGCCGGCTTGCAAGAGAGAAGAGTGAGAAAGAGAGAGAGGAAGGGAGAAAGATGATGTGGCAGCTTGACATGTGGGGACCACGTGGGTCCCACGCTGACTTAGTCATCACGTAGGATAAAACCGGATCAAAAACACTATGATCTATCGTGACCGGTTTCGATTAGTTAAGGGACGCCCGATATCTGGTTTTACGGTTGAGGGATGATACTGTAACTCGACGACAAGTTGAGGGACCTTCGGTGTACTTTTTCCTATTTGGATTCATCCTGCGTTGGGCCCCTAAGGCTACTTGAACGGGCTGGGAGTGGGAGGACGTCACGCCAGCGTGAGCTCCTCAGAGAAGCCGCCGCCGCTCGGACTCGTCAAGGGCACACCATTGCTGCCACCTTGAATAGGCCTAGTAGAGCACATTGGATACTTGGGCATTTTGACAGGCATTCACCGCCGCTTTGTGCGCTAGATGTTGCCGGCGCACGGTGAGCCCACGTCGACCCATGCCTGCCCGCCTTCCCTTTTCTTTTTCTCGCGTCTGTTTTCTCTCTCTCATGCTTTTTTTTTGTCTCGAGAATTTTGTACTCAAAGTCAAATTCAAACAAAAAATTTTGTTCATCGATGAGTTGATGTCTATACTCTCTTTCCCTCAACTCAATTTTTAAAACTTTCAACCTAAATTATGAAAAAATAATAATAATATGATACAGACACCGATAGTAAGCTAAAAGTTTGAAAGAATATATATATATATTTCAAAATATTTGAGACAAGTAAAATAAAAAAAGAGAATAAAAATATCATAAAAATAAATTATCACAAAAATAAAACAAATGTACAAAAACTAAGGAGACATTATGATACATTATTGAGTGCATAAAAATAATGTTAAAACTTTGCTACAATTATAATACTACTATCCATTCAAAATTACTTGAATTTCCTCTTCTCGTGGCATCTATCTAACCAACAGTTTCATAAAATAAAATTACATCCATCAGGCTATGAATAATAACTTGGATGACATATTTTGCAACTTGCTAGCTTGCATTGCTCAAGCGTTCTTTCTTTGATGCCACCAAGTTAACTACTAGAGCATTCACAACTTAAGGTACAAGATGATGCAGAAATCCATTGCAGTGCTCCATTATTCCCAACCGAGTAAACTAAGTATGATCATTGCTACAATATCAATGGCATGCATACACTATCCTCATGGAATGGTCCTTTTTTTTATTTTTTTATTTAGGAAGACGACGGCAGACCTCTGCAGGAATTCAATTTTGCTCATGGAATGGCCTCAATATGCAGGTATTTCTCATTTAACAAGGTTACCTCAGCAATAGTAGTTCACGGTTTACTTTATGTACTGACAATTCACACTGAGCAAGAATACCAAGTTACCGAATACAAAAAATGAAAATATTGACAATCAGTCATCATAATAATGATCATTTGGAAAATTGTAAGTTTGTAACAACATTCAACAAATTAAAGAAGCACAGGGCAGCTATCGAATCTACTCTCATGTCAATTAGTCATCATGGAGTCAGCCCTGAAAAACAAGGACTAGTTTACTTTGCAAATTATGGTGTACAACAGAAGAGAAGCATAAAGATACAATGGTACATCTGAGTATAACACCTTTGATGTTCTTATAATTGTTAATTGTGCTATTTCTCGTATCGAATTACGGGGTTAGACGTAGTTTATCAAAATCGAGCAGTTACAAGGTTTTAGATCCAAGGTACATCAAAATTATATATTTGCTGGTGGTATTATGAGGTACACAGGTGATTGTAATAAGAACAAAAGGCTATGACAGTAAGGTATGCTGACATCTTGGATTAGATGTGGTTAAACACAAAGCATTACTATATGGCAACATTTTTTTTCAATTTCTTAAAATCTAATTGTAATACTAGATTACTGGACTATTGTAGTCGATCCATAGAAGCCTTTTCTAAATACAAAAAGGGTCTAATGGACTATCATCTAATTACTCTAGTAATTACTAAGACTCCTATATTTCTTTTTCATAAAAAAAGTGTCGTGTAACAAAAAGAAAAATTCAAAATAGGTGGCAAACAAAATGGTTAACCTTCACAAGAAAAGAAATAGCTACAAAATGAAAGGACCTTGATGTCTCCAGGAGGGAGGGGGGTTGAATAGGTAAATAGGTAGTCATTCCTTATATCTTAAGCTGGCATGGATGCTGCTCGCTGATTGGTTGAGATGGTGCACAATTATACGTTGACACGTGCCCCTCTTACTTTCCCCCAAGAGGCTAAGAGTGTGGCTGGACAAGTATTTGGGAACACAAAATACTAAAATCTAGAGAACTCTTTCCACACAATTCTAGATCTCTAGTATCTTCAAGTCTAGTCTCATTTCAAATGATTTAGGAGTAAATAAGACAATGTCGTAGTCAAACTAATGGAGGAAAAAAGTTACAAAAACAACATTTATAGGGGTCGCATTCACCTAATTAAATCAAAGAAGGAGCTGACAATTGAAAGAAGAATTGAGCCAAGCAATAAGATTGAACAGGAGCAATGGTGGTGGCGGCGACTGCAATACTGGATCGAACAAGCGATGGCGCTCGCACAAAATGGCTCTTCCGTGAACATTGCAGTGCTATCGAAGACTTATTGATCAATTGGACACTGCCACTGCAGTGAATGCCCTGCTTGCTGGGTGTTGGCGGCTGTTAAGAGCCAATTTTATGCCGCCAATACCTGCATAAATCAAGGAAATAAAACATCCAACATAGTGATAGAATTAAATTCTTACGTATTCCACAAGTGTTGTTGTATATTTGAATGCAGGTAGTAAACCGCCGAAGTTGGATAAAAAAATAGACTCAAGTGAAGGTGAAATCCTATCCATACAAAGAGTGGGCCAGAAACTACCAAAAAACACCGTCACATGGGCCTTCCACTTGCAGAAATGGATAGAGGAAGAGGAGAGACAACAGGCCAAAACTTGGACCTGTTGGGCCTGGCCTGGGTTCGGCCGAACCACTCTCGCAGCCCTCCAATTCAGGGTTTGGCAGGGACGGTCTGGATGAGCTCCTGAATGGTGGTTGGAGGGCAAAATGGACTTTTCGCGTTCTATAACCGTCAGCCCCTATATAAAGACCTCACTTCACTCACTTCAACACACACTCCAAGGTTAAGCTGAATTATAAGAGGCTCTATTATACTTTCTATCTGTGATGTTAAGAAATACCAAGGGCCTGTTTGGTACAGCTCCAACTCCTAAATTTAACTCCAGGAGTTAAGTCTGGAGTGGAGTTGTGGAGCTGCCTAAACCCAGCTCCACAACTCTAGTGCATTTTGTGAGAGAGCTCCACCCAACTCCACTCCCAGTTTTGGTGGAGCTGAAACTGTTTGGCTGAGCTCCAGCTCCAGGAGGGGTGGAGCTAGAGCTGGAGCTGTGCCAAACAGGCCCCAACACTGGGCTCACACCACCGCCACCCTCTCGTTGGTCAGACGTGCCCTGTTTGTGGCTATGCCGAAACCTTTATGCCACCACCTTTACCATGATCGATGTTGGAGTTCGGCTAGCCATCTCCGGATCTGTCTATCTTACACCTTGGCACCCTCAGAATCAATACCTCAAGAGTAGCCACCTGATCGAGTTGGCAGGAGCACAACTGCCACTAGATCAAATGGTCCTCTATCTCCACATCCCTCCATCCACATGGATCTGGCATTTGCCAACATGACCAACATCAGATCGGGCAACCCAAGGTACCAAGTACCATAAGCCTTCTGGAGACATGGGAGGGGAAGGAGAGGGCATCACCATAGCGATCGCCGGTGAGGACAGAGAAGGAAAATGGTGCCATCGACAAATTGCAGAAGAAAAAGTCTTAGAAAGAGAGAAAAAGGCAACACGGCGGACTGATCGAGGCACGGAGCCGTCCAGCGAGACAACTTGAAATTCTCACTCAATTAGGGCAAACAAGACCACTCGAATGTATATCTTTTAGAAATGTTACAAAAATGTATTATTTTTTTTTAAAAAATATCTTATAAAATAAATATCGTTTAAAGAGCTTACGGGTTTAAAGCATCCAGTTGGCACGTCTAGTTTCTAGTTTAAAATGAAATGCGGAAGCTAACCAAAACAGTGTCGGGTTGTCCGATACCGGGTTGGCCAGTCCGATGTTGATTGGATTGTCCGAACTGAGATCGGACTATTTGACTTGTAGAGTAGTAGCACAAGCAAACAACAACAACTAGATTAGCACAGAACAAAGCAATCCAACAAGAAGGTAAAGAGATGGAGGATATCATCGAGTTTTACGTGAAAATGTATTTTCCGAAGTTCAAATCCTTGAGGGGATTCTAGCCTCCGTTGAGGAGCTCACAAAGAGCTGGGTCTTTTCTAACCCTATCCTCTTGAGGTTACACAAATGCACTCCTTCCGCTAAGGATATCTAGGGATGGCAATCTTTTCAAATCCATGCCCGACCCAGCGCCCGACTTTTCCCGCCCGAACCCTACCCGATAGGGTTAGCACGCAAAACTCCATGCTCGTACCCATGCCTGACGGGTACGGGTATGCCCCATGGGTATCCAGTGGGTATGCCCGGTGACCTTGTTCCCTATGCTCGGCGCGACGGTGAGAAGGGAGCGAAGCGGCGACAAAAGTGCGATGGAGGAGCGATGGCGCTCTCTCGCCAAATCTAGCAACAGTGGCCACCAGATCCGGTCAGGTGAGCGCGCGAGGGTGACAAAGACAGCGGTCATGCGTGATGGAGACGATGAAGCGGCTGCTGCCTATCA